AATAAAATAATAATAATAACAATAATAATAAAATAAAGTAATTGAAAAATATACCTCTTCGCCACGATTAATTCTGCGTTTAGCAAATATTATTATACGCAATGCCCGATCGACTTCCACAATTTCGGTTACACAATTCGGATTACATGAGTGATTTATGTAGCGCGCTAAGCCGCCGCACAAAGCTGCATCAAGGACACGACCCTCACCCAAACGAAACAAATAAATGCCTCTGTTCTGTAATGCACAAAAATTGACTCAGTGCAGATCACATCATTAATTTGATTATTTAAGTTTTTTTTTTTTGGACATACTCTCGCTTCCCATTGTTTCTCCCGAATTTCTGAAACTTCAGTTCGTACAACTTCGCATATGTACTCAATAATCATAGCATGTTCAGCGCGTTCAACGATTTATTTTGAAAAGCGAAAATATAATGGGATACGGTCTACAGTTAAATGACGTACATCATCACAGTTAATCAAAAAAGTCAAAAAATTGGTCTCACCCAAACCATATTCGTACCGTTCGTTCCTGCACCAACACATGTAAGTGTCATCAAAATATTTCCAAAACTGCGAGCTGTAGGTGAAACGCACAAACTAATGCGGACGGACAAAAATAGACCAATTCATATTAGATCAATGTTTCCTATTTCCTATTTTTTAATTACCTTTACCAAAAAATAATACTAATATTATTACATAGTATATGTTATACAAAAACGATAAGGGCTTCAACCATTATATTAAAAACATTATTTTATATTGTGCATTAATGTAACTACTAGATCAGAAAATTGATCTTACTGGAAACTGTTCCTGGTTCCCAGCTCATGTTTGATTTCTCTAAGTACTTACTTTGGCTTTGGTCAAGCTTGTTAAGTTTTATCTTGATAATCAGTGTCAGTACGTGAATCTAGGTAATTCCTCGTAAATTTTATACATTAAACGAAGGGATTCGTCAATTCGCCATTTCTTAGCTGAGATTTCTTACTGTGCCTTTTTCCGTTGCGCCAAGTTTTAGCACCATAAACCAAAATAATTCATAACCGATCAATAAAACACCGTCTTTGTGATATTGTACGAGTGCCAGCTCTGAATATTTTAGTCAGACAAAGACTTTGAAATTCCTCGCCCTGATGAATTCGGAACTATCAGACATTTAATTAGCAACCCAAACATCGAACTCCGTGTTGCAGTTCTGTAAGGTGATTATGGGCAGAACACAAACAACATGTTTGGATGGCAAACTACTTGTACCGTTTTACCTAAGCCCACGCAATGAGCCAAAATGCAACCAAAACCACCCGACGTTTTCAAACCTATGATATATTCAATAACGTATATTCAGATATTGATTCCACATATACAGCAATTATAGGTTTCGGCAATTCATCGCCTTCCATGCTAAGGTTCTTATCCGTATCAATATCAGTTTCGATGGTTTTTATTTCTTTTGTATCTAAATCAACAAATTTCCGAAGAAGAATTGCGATTTTCCTCTCTTAGCATATTATTGATAACTAGATGTTTAACCATACATACCACACAAATTCATAGTTTTAATAGTTTTAATAGTTGTCTGTAGCAAATTTGAAAGGCGTTCGATAAATTTTAACGTGGAATCTCTGTTTAATGTGTCAAATTAACTTTTGGTATATATAAAAATCCAGCTTATAGTTATGAGAAATATTAAAATCTACTTAAAGTTCTTGAAAGACTATAAATAGCGGATGTTGGAGGGATGAAAGGCGAGATTGCCTTTTGCTTCTTATATAAAAATATTTATTTCAAACAGTTCAATTTAAATAAATAGATAAGCATACGATTATCACAATACTACCCACGTAGTTAGATTTCAACTTTATCACTTTATTCACCAACACGTATCGCTGATCAAAATATATGTAAGCACCTAAAAAGCAGAAAAAATTTCAGTTTAACTATAAACTAATACTAATTCGTTGGCAAAAAACACTGAATTGTATGAATAATAAATGAATGTACAAGATAGGAAAATCCGATCACTTTTAGAACCTCAACCCACATATAAACTTTCTGAAATAAAATATTTTCCAGTTATTAATATTTTAGGATTAAAATGGTTGCACAAATTATTAATTTCAAATATAAGTTTACCCTTTTTCGGACTCTTCGGCTATGAGAAGCAAGGCTTCCAAAAACAAAAAGATTTTTTTTTAGTTAGGTTGTTACGGTGGGGCCCTGATCCCTTTCGTAGTTGCACACATTCGACCAGATGCTGAATATTTACGATTTTATCGCATTTCCATGCTATAACGAGTTTATCCCTTAGTTGAAAGTGTGTTATTGTAAAATTTTTGTCTACACCTCATCGTCATGTGGGTATTATTAAATTTTAATGTCTTTATGCATTGCAAATTTATTTAATTATTTTTATTTCATATAATTTTCTGTCCATTTAGACCTTTTAGATCTTTGGGTATAGATATAAAATGGATTGATTGCATTTGCTCTAAAGAACGAAGGACGAATGAATACATATGTATCATATCTGTCTATCATATATCATTCTATTGGCAAAGGCAGAAGAGAGTTTACGGCTTTCACTTGTTGATTCTGATGCATGTCTCATGAAATAATACATAATGTGTGATATAGCTATATATTTCTGGGATGAACGAATTTGTTAATGAATCCCTACTTAAGCATAGATTTTTATTATTAACTAATGTTATGTATGTACCTGGCATGTATTCGAATATGCGGATGATGTTTTGTGAAAATTGTTTACTTTAAAACAAGAAATTATATAATTTTATACGGTCGTACAATTAATTTACAGTCAATATACAATACAGTTAATTCGTCTTTTTGGTGATTTGCGCTCTGTAGACCTTCACAAGTTATTCTTTCATACTTATACTTTGTTTAAATAACGATCATATTTATGGTTTTTGTCGTCTTATTGTTTTTTTTTCTTATGATGGTGGCGGTGGTGGTGGTGATGTGTGGGAATATGTGGATATGGTGTTAATAACATAAGTACTGTGTTGTGCTGCTTTCCAGTCAAGACCGACCGAAACTATTCGTCACATTGTTTTTCTGCTAAAATTATCCTTTTTTTTTTCCTTCATTATTCACATTCATTGCCGAAGAGAGATTTATCCCGAAAGTGAGACGAAAATATTAAACACCTACTCTTCGTTTTGTATTTGTACTGTTTGCCAACATCTGTTTTAAACTGAATGAGGACAGCGCAAAAAACAACAGGGCTACGAGTTAGTACACGATCCGGGCTGCTGCTTTATCTTTCGGAAGCTGCCGGCGATGCCTGAAAAAAATAATAAAATAAGAAGGAACTTAAGTAAAATGTATATTTTATAAGGAAAGGAAAGCGGGAAGAATGAAGCTCTTGAAAGAAAGTCTACGATTTGTTCTCTTTTGGCAAAGAAACTAAAGATAGAAGAGTATACCTAATGAATGTTATCGATGGGGAAGTTTTCGACACATCCCAAAGGACTTGAAATGGACTCTATTTTTATTATATCATTCGCTGAATAGATTTAAGCATACCTGTCCGACGTTTCAACGAAGTATTTTGATCATCCTGATAGTAACATATTCGTAAGAATCTATTTTTGAATTTGGTGCCAGCAGGGATCAGAATACTTTTCTATTGTTGCAGCTCTTAAGTTCCAAGATAAGGAAAATAAACACAACTTAAAAAAGAAATGCTCTCCGTTATCGTACGGGGAATTATAATAACATAGCTGAACGTGTTCTTTAAGAGCGATATATACTGTGCACTTAACATTTTTGCAAATTATTTTGCTGAGTAATTTTGAGGAGTGTTGAAAAAGTAAGAATTACTCAAAAACTTTCTTCCGGTCGAAATGTCTCTCTTCTAGTCCTGTCCACCTAACCAATATAACAATTGGCTAATAAAAAAAAATCTTTCAACAAGGGCCGGCTTTTTTATTCATTCCTTCAATAGGTCTATGAAGATTGAGCATTTCCTTAGCTATTCCTACATACCTGCCCAGTGCAAATAAAAAAGAACAATTTTTCATATTTTCATCTATGAATCTCGTTTCTTTAAAGATATCTCGGAAGACGTGTTGTTTAAATATTCGTCAAATACATCTGTTTCATTCCGATCGGCTTACTAATACGTCAACAGTTAATGATAAAAATCAATCCCAATTTCAATTTATTCATTTAGCTCACAGAGCTTCAGCATTAACTTCACTAGATCGAGAGACAAATATATGAAAAAGATATCGACCTTTTTAATAAAATATCAAAATGGGTCCTAGATGTTAGAAATAGGTATACACCATCGGCATCTCGAAACTAGATCACCTAGGGAAAAAGGCGTTTAAAGCCCTTTTTATATAAATAAAAGCCACCAAAAAATCTTGGAACGTGTATCTCCATTTTACAGTGGTGAATATAACAAAAATTAGGTCAACATGTACTATACACCATAACTGATCTAAGCTCTGAATTAAGATACTGGGATGTATATTGATGAATACTGAGTAAGATTGTAATGCAACCTTGCATAACCTCGCTTTGCAGCTCATAAGTACGAATGTAGCTTTTCTTAACTTACTCTCTCAACCAAGCATTAGCATGTAAGTGGTAGAGTGAGAAAACATACGTTGTGGTAAAAGCGCAATGTATCAATGCGTTGATGTGACAGCCAACAACTATTAAAGCAGCGCGCAAACAACGATCATGCTTTCGGTTGTTCAGCAGCACTCAAACTAGCAGGTAAGCCAACAACCCCTTAAGTACTAGTAGCCGTGTCGCCGTTAGGTATTGTCCGTCCGGAACAGGATCCGTTTATAGTGTCTTGATCCGAAAGGATATCCAAACCTTGTAGAGCCCAGAAGTCCATAACCTTATCTGTCCGGAACGAGTTACTTAGTGTAATAGGCGTGCTCCTGCATCATTACGTTACGGACTTGGGCACGAAAGCACACCATAGAAAACTTATTCCTTTAAGGACCCGGATGATTGTCTGCTGAACTACTAACATAATAATTTACAGATCTTACGCGACAATTTCCTTTTCATAATTCGACTATGCGCGGTTCTTATTTCTCCGGTTAAAATCGAGGCTGCACACTAAATACAATTTGCGTTTTCTTTTCCTACTAAGCAAACTTCGCAAATAACGCCATTCTGTATTCTTCTTAAATTCCGCCAATGTATATATAACTTTACACAAAATCACTGGTGTTCCTTCAATTTACACAACAAATTTTTTGGAACAGACCGCGCGACTGCCCTCAGCAGTCGTAACTATAATGAGCATTCATTCGGTATAGGCGTAACTCTTACCGATTGGGCACACACTCATTGAGCTGTGGCTATCTCCTTATTTCCTTCCGTCCCTACATTTTTTGCTGTCCGTCGACGTAATCCGCTTATAGGTAACATGTATGTGAGTGACAGAGAGAGAGAGAGAGAGAGAGAGAGAGAGAGAGAGAGAGAGAGAGAGAAACTAATATGTTAAGCATGTCTGTTCGTCTGTCTACTTTTTTTTTTTAGATATTTTAATGGAATTTGGTACGCTAACATATTTTGGAAGAAGGATCAAAGCGATTAAAAATAGTCCCGATCCGACCACATTTTCGAGTACTTTGCTGCTTGTCAATTGTCGTTATATGAATAACTCTAGGATAATGAATTTAGTAGTGGACCGTGGCTAATTATAGCGTTTTTAGTTGTTTTTTAGTTATATTTTTACGACCCTTTAAGTCTTACAACTACTTAGCCATCTTCTAGGTAATCGTTTCATTTTCCTTGACAAACAAGTGCAAGGAAATGGGCGATTAAACATCTATCACTGAAAAAGTAAAGGAGGTTTGCTTTAAATTGAAGAACACTAATAGAAAAGTGGAAAATTGAAAATAAACCGTTATAAAGGTCAAATAGTTGCCATGTTTTTTGAATTAGAAGGAACAAAAATGTATCCGAAATGAAATCGCATGTTGTCTCCACTGAAATTATGAATGAAAGATAACTGTCAATAGTCGGAGTCAATGAAAGCACAGTAAACATTATTTTCAGCCCAAGCTGTTTCTTCACTGTAAGCAGAAATTGCCAGCGTTTGACAATAGAAAACTTCCACTCATACTAAAAACTCTCTTTAAATTTAAGCATAAATAAGGGAAATTAAAAAATTAAAGAAAGCGGATAAAAAATTGACAAACTGGTGTTCAGTCTCAGAAAAAGGTATGAAAAGTGAATTATTCCAAAAAAAAACCGTAAATCTGCTATTTTTCTTAGCAAAATAGCCCCCCGAAAAAAATTTAATAAGGTTTCCATGCCTAATTGTGATGCTAATCCTTCTTACATAGCGAATTTCTTCTCACAATTATTGGGTCGCTATGTCATGGGTGTGGATCAATATGATGACGATTATTACAATTTAATCTTGATACCACTTTTATATATTTTACTACTCAATTTAGAAAAGTTTTAGACAATTTCGCTCATATTTCTCCATCATTTTTAATGCATTTCAATAAAATTGTTAAACGCATAGTAAACAAATTGCTTCTGTTTTTTGTAGGAATTTCAAACTTTTTCTTGTAAATCATGCCATAATGAAAAATTTTTATTGAAGGAAAGCTGCCATTGCAAACCGTGGGCCGAAGAAAACCATAGGTAGGGTAAGATACAAAATGTTCCAGGTCCGTTTGGTCCACCGTCCTGTTATCCCTATAAGGATAAAACGCTTGTATTTCTTGTAGACAGTTGTCTTGTAACAGTTTGTGGAGTGCTCGTGGGAGAAAAATTTAAAACCTACGTGCTGACGGTAAATTGGTGGGTGTGCCTTTATACAATATGCGACAATTGATCAAGCTACAAAGGCTATATTGAAAGGTAACGGTAAAGAATTAATGAGAAGGCCAGTCTTCGTTAGGTAAAAATGAATACTTGGCTGGTAAACAATGCACTTACGGAAATAGCCAGAGGAGAAAAAATCTAAAAGTGAATGTAAAGAAGAGGAAATTCAACCACAAACGAATGACAAGAATGGGGAGGAAGAGGTTGAGAATAATGAAGAAAGTAACGAAAAGGTAACGTAAGAAAAACTATAATAACTGTTAATTAATAAAAACTTGAGTAATTCATAGGATTGTAACGTCAAAGAGCGTTGCAGTGTATTTATAAAAAATTTAGCATTTGATACAGAAGATGCAGATCTAAGTAGACTATGTCGCAAATACGTTTCTATGTGCAAGTGTATTGCAGCGTTTCTAGAAAAGCTTTTTTTACACATATCTTGTTTTCTTCTTTACAAGCGGGCAACTTTTAGTAAAATATTTCATTGACATGCACAAAAGATTTTTGTGAAAATCAATATAAATTGATTAACATACGTAATTGGTGTTTCCGATTACGATTTAATTCGCAGCCGACGAATTTCACATTTTCATCCTTTCTGTACTTGTGAAATGATTTTGTTGAAACTAATTGAATTGCATTGATTCGATATTTCATACATGTTTATATGCATAAATAAACATGAATCCCTTCCGCACGCACAACAAGTACCCGTATAAGACTCGGGTTAATATCTATTTCAAGTTAATAGGTTTTTACTTATTGCAGAAGGGTGCCATCCATTTCCAAACGTGATAGCGGATTATCAAATAATAACCTGAACGCTTGACTTCAAAGTTCTGTTGCTTATCTTTCGCAAACGTTTTAACAGTGAATGGCGAAATCTACTCTCAATGATTTGATTCACGAGATTTTCCTAACCGCTTTTCTGAATTCTACAAATAATCCCGGTATAAAAATAACCATTCAACGCCATTTACAAATTCTAGAAAGTTTTATTTAAAAACAAATTCTAACATTCAGAAACATTCAACGATTCATTATCAATCTGTATCGCTGAGATAAATCTTTGTTCAATCTCAAGTGGCCCTTAGTTCAACCATTTTTTTTCTTCCTACATTACTGTTGTCTTTCTTGCAATTTCGCCAAGAAATCTATAAGAAATTGATGACGTTCTTTAATCTCGTAACGTCCACGATGGGGCAGCTTGTTCGCTATTCGCGTATATAGATCCTGAGGATCCATTTTCATTTCAATTAAGATAATTTTGTCTTCGTCCCTAGTCCAAGGGTTAGATACAGGCAAAGGACTAGTTTTAATCTTACTTAAACTATTACTTAAACTATTTGAACTGATATCGTTTTCTTTTTCATTAGTGCTTTTGTTAGGAGCGTCCGGATCATTATTCTTATTTTTTAAATTTATTGGCGAATCGTTCGTGCTTCGCTCGTCCTCAGTCGAGTCAGTTTCCATTTTGAGAGATGGAAACGGACTTGGGGTAATGGGAGAATGTTCGGGCAAAAACTCCAAATCATCTAAATTGTCGTCTGCATTATCTGATGCTTCAACAGTTTGTTCGCTTTGATCTTCACCCAGGTACGCTTGCTTTAAAGCACTTTTCGGGCGTGCTATAATATTAATAAGTTCTTTAGAATCCAGCGCGGTACACTCTTCTTCATCTATTAGTGATTTTAAGCGCTTGGCACAAGTTATAGCTGAACTGGTATCATGAATTACCACCATTGGTTGCACACTAGCGCCATTACACGTCCTTCGTTCTGCATTAGAGATAGGAGATTTCGTTTTCTTGCAAGGAGATTTACGTTTCTCCTTTGAAAGCAAGGGAACACAAGATACCGCGGAATTTGTGACGCTGACAGAAGAACTTACTAAATTGCTTTGCATCATAGCACAGCTAGCCGTCCCTGGCGAACTTATCAGTTGCGTAATCCCGGTCATACCTGAATTTTTTCGGGGAGAAATTTTGTTATCTTCGTAAAGAAAATTAAAAGAAGTTTTTTTTGCATTTGAATGATGATTTTGAATATTATTGGTGATGTTCGGTGTGCTGGTCAAATTCGCGGTAAAGCATGTGGAGCTATAATAGGAAGGATTTAGGCGCATAGCATGCGAACGTAGGGTGCTATCATCACAGCTTTCCAAAGAGGAACAACTATCATCTTCACCTGCAGTTGTATCGATAATTAAGGCTGGAATGTATAATTTTTTGTTTTTATTTTCATGTAAACCTTTATATGAATATTTTTCCTTTCCTACTTACCCTTGCAGTTTTCTTCTTCCGAAGAATTTTCTTGCTCATCGTTAACTGTATGTTCCATATGAAACTGACTGGTATTACTTTCATTGATTTGCATTAAACGGTTTTCGCCGCAATTTCTAATCCCGTGAGCACAACCTGATATTTTCGAGGAGTCTTTCAAATTATTTTTATCTACGTAGGACGAAGCCATAAAGGAGAGTTTGGCAGGCAGTAATATTTTGGACCCATAGAAGATGCGACCGTTAATATACTAAAACAAAAAGAAAAAACATAAACAATTACTAATCAAAAGTTTAACAAACTTACTCTCAACTGGCAGGAGGAGTGGTGGGTTTCTTCAGCTGTGGGTGAATCCAAAAGATCGTTTAAGGTCTCTATATGATCGCCACAACTTTTATTTTGGCAGTCCTTTAAGTTTATTACATGTTCAGGAGCAGAGAACAATCTGAAAAAAATTAAGGAGCTTAGGATATTGTAAAATAGTGGAGTGCTTTTTCTTATAATCGCCACAAGAAGTTTAGCATTTTGCAATTTGCCGCTATGATCATCCGAGGCAATATATCTATAATCGATCGAAAAAACGAAATTATTTTTGCATTGCGGAGCCAAAGTTTTACACTACAACACTCCAATACCAATTTTACTAAAAAAGAAGTGAAAACACTGTAGTCGGACACGGCCCACCATTAAACACCCTGCACCTGTTCTCTTGATACATTCATTGATACGATTCTCTAAAATGAGGTCGGAAAAGTGGGCCGAAGCATTTCAATAGCGCTCGTCCTTCCGCCAAACCATTCCTTCAACGTATCTCGAAAGTTGCGACTTACAAGAAAACAAGATAAACAGACAAGCACTCTTAAATCGATGTAGCCACTGATCCCGAATTGATCGGTAAAAAATTAGTAAGATCCATCTCGAGTTCTTCCAAATATTGCGTACATCCGCACAAACTAAATATAGATCTTTGCATCGCAGGCGGTGTAGGGTGTAAGTTACGAAAACTACAAAAAAATCTAGTTGTGCTGACTGATTTATGATCTTATAACAATGTTATGTTACAATGCTGTACAACTTTATATTTAAAGGGATATCAAACACAATAGCGTATGGCGTTTGTTAATGGTGGCTGCTGGAGTTCAATATTTATCAATTTATTTTTGTTACTTACCTTTCCGGTGGCGCATTTTGTGAAAATTGTTGCATAAACCAGTCTATCAAAAATTGATTGCCTTTGAGAAGAGGAAGTATTTTATTTTCTACCTTTCTAATAGTAACTTCAGGATCTTCGGCTAATTCATTGAGGCAATTGTAGATTTTGCGTATTTGCGCCGGTTGCTTATTGAAATAAATATTCAGTTTGTTAATGAAAGTCGACATATTGTTGATCATGAAATGTTCGAAGAATTTCCCAATAGCTGCCGCCTCTGAGGGCAAAAGGAAAGTCAAGAAAACCTCAGCTAAATCTGGATGCTCCGGTAAGAATAGAGTTTCCAGTTTCTAGAAATGAATTTACTAAAGATGCAATATCCTATCGAATTTAATTTCCAAGCTCACATAATATAAGTCCGACACCTTTCCTGACCTGGGATCAAAATTTTTTAAAATATTTACGAATTTCTTAAAATTTTCCGGCTTTTTTGATGATTTAAAAGCTTCTTCCACTTTCTCATAGAAATTATAAGCGTAAACTAGAAAATGAGATCGAATCGAATTAAGTTTGAATTAATCTTCAAAATTTCTCTAACATATAAAAATTTCCTACTTACTGGCATCTTTGCGGTCGGCTTCTTCTGGCGAATCTGGCAAAAGCATATGTTTGAAATTTTCCTCTTGACGATTAAGTTTACGTGCTATACGCTGTAAGACGGGATTATGATCCTCTTCTTCTCTAATAATATTACGCGTACGCTTCACACCTCCTGGAATTTGGTTGCTACTATTTACACTTATGTTTGCACGTACAAACATTTTCAAATCTTTTAACAAATTGGTATATAATTCCAAGGCTTTAAATTGACGATAATATGCGTTCAGTACAGGTATATGTTTATAATTTATACCTAAACTATCCAAGTATAATCTGTAAGCTGTTATAAGAACCTCACAGCGTTTACGCAGATAAAGTCGCTCGCGGTATTTGTTAATAATGCGACGTTTGAACCTTTTTAAAATCAGAAAATTTCTCAACTTAAATTTCGAAAATTTGACATTTACAGGTTTTAAAGCGCTTTGCTGTACTGCAGCTGATTGACTATCTGTGAAATATTTGGTGGTATGACCTTCGCGTAAATGATTAATTTCTGATTGTTGTTGCTCATTAGTTTGAACACTTTGCTGAACACATTTTGTTTCATAGCTATATTGATAGTTTACAATCGTGGCGGCATTATTTTCGGCTGATAAACGTGCACTGAACGGATTTGATGTTTCTGCCACTGTCTCACTAAGCTCATTCGCACATGCGCTCAAAGGCAAAACTGACACATCTGTTGTTGTAGGTGAACTATTTAAATAATAATTAACATTGATAGTAAAAGACTGCGGCAGATTCTTTCTTTTAAACGAGCTTCCGGTGGCTTCGTCGCATTTGCGTTTTGTTTTCTTTTGATTTAAATTGATGGCATTACCAATTTCTCTTTCGTTATTCTTAACATTCTCTGTCAATGTTATATCGGTGCCTACTGCTTCACGTACCAACTCCAAGAAAGAATCTCTGGCATGCTTGGATGCTCTCACTTTAGATGTAGATGTTGAAAATTTTTGTTGTTCACTTAAAGTCTTGGGTTGTTTGGTCGAAATTGAACTCGTAGCTTTCTTTAGAGAAAGAAATTTGAAATATTTTATTTAGTTTATTTGTTATTTATATTTGTTGTGGAATAAATGACGCGAAATGAAAATGATATTCATAGCAGTACTGCAATCCTTCTTCTTACTTTTCCAGGAATCCACAATAAAAAAGGTAATCAATTTTTCTTATTGAACAGTTGCCATATTTCAAAGTTTTTTGTTAAAAATTTTTTAAGCCTTTTACATAATTAAAAAGAGCTATTTTTTCAAGAATTCATAATACCTTCGGTCTAATTTCATAGCGGTTTTTTTAATTTGTTTATAATAATTCCAAATACGTTACTACTACAATTTTCTAACGGAAAACGGGTAGCAACACGCTCACTACTTATGTTTACGTAAACAAAGAGGGCCAGCTGTCTAAGTCATGCTACCTGCAGTTGATAAAATTTTTCACTGCCTTCCCCCCAAAATTTATTAAGCGCACACACAAGTTAGTTGTTGAGCCCTGTACACAACGCATAACTCCAAAGCAATTAAGCTTGCGTTGCATTGCTAAAGCAAAATCATATACTAACGTCTTTTTCCATTGAGGTTAGTGACATGCAACATTAACAAAAAGAAGAATTTCTTTTCAAAAACAAGTAGAAACATTATAGACGGGCTGATAGTTAGAGATCCCATATGAATGTACCTAACGGTCTTTTCGAAATTATAATTGCTTTCAATTTAGTGCCACTTGTATTCATAAAGGAATTGTAAAATTGTGTGAGCAAGAGGAAGAATTGTAAAAATTGTGTGAGCCATACCCTGCACAAGTGGTAAGAGCCTAATCACTTGTTTGAAGCACAATACGATTAATAAAGCAAAAAAAAATATTTGTTATGTATAGAAATTAACAGTTTTTTTTAATAGTTTTTCAGCTGTCACAAACGACGATTACAGTAATTTGAAAAAGTTTTGAAAAATTTTGCTTTCACGCGAAACACAATGTAATTTCTGTTCTAAGCACAATAAACGCAATCAGTTTTATTTTGACAGTTAATGAGTAACGCATAACGCAAGTGCGTTGCACTTTAACTAAACACGTAGTATCGTTAGTAGGAAAAAATAGTAGTTGCAACCATCATTTTTACTGAAGGATCTTCTAACAACAGTTGAGGTTTTATTTCTTGTGTGGACATTATCAGCTGGTTCATTAAAAATATTCGTAAAGGCTGCGTGAAATTTTTCAAAAATATCACTGAAAATTTATATAGATGTGTAGAAAAAATTAAATCAGATATTTATAAAATACTAATACTGTTGGTTTTTGTAAAGTGTCCACGTCATTTGTTATAAACAGACCGACCAACTGGCAACTTGAATTTTCACAAAGTGAATACCCACAATTAAGTAAAATGTCGGGTAAAGTTACTTTTAAGATAACTTTAACATCGGATCCTAAACTGCCTTTTAAAGTATTAAGTGTACCAGAAGCTGCTCCTTTTACGGCCGTCTTGAAATTTGCAGCCGAAGAATTTAAAGTGTCCGCCGCAACGAGCGCCGTTATAACAGATGATGGGATAGGCATTAGTCCCCAACAAACTGCAGGAAATGTATTTCTAAAACATGGCTCCGAATTGCGTTTAATACCACGCGATCGAGTGGGTTGTTAATTAATTGATTAATTTAATTTTTATACCATAATAAAAACTCTTCAAACTAATAAAGATGTAAGAAAAAAAAATGTGGAAACTTACATTCTGCACGTACGTTTTCCAAACTAAGGGCAGCTCTTGTAAACGCTGTTTAGGTGGTAAAACTTTATTGTCTTCAAATCCTATAATAGGCATTAATTCTATAGCTGGTGCGCAATCGTGATCGAAATAATACTGCAACAATCAAATAAAACGTTTTCATTGGAGAGCGCAAGCGATTTCAACAACAACAATATTTACAACTAACTTTTATGGGATTGTAGAAATTAGCCTTCTTTAAATTCATGATATGTTCCCAAACACGTCTATAATTTTTACCCCAAACCATATCGCGGCATAAACGTTTACAAGCCAAACGTAAAGGTGTGGTTTTATGATATACTTTTTCATTAGTTTCCTTAATACGTTTCATATGCTTTTCCAAACCCATCGCTATCAATTGTGATTCGGTGGGAGCAAAAGCCTCATATGTTCGTTGACGTGGCGTGAACGGGATTCTGGGCAAGTATTGAGGATACATGAATACCTTCGAATTCACAATCGTGTCCATAACACGTGGTGGAAATCTAGGTATTTGTCGAGTGTTTTTGTTCCTGTAAAATAATCGATAATTACAAATTTTGATTTCTCTCATTTAATTTCAGATTTACGTTGCTTCAATTTCTTTGTGCATAAATAGCATCATTTCACGGTTCTCCTCATTGTTATTATCGTTCACTTCTTCTTGCCATTTTTCCACCAAATCTAAAGCGCTATCTAAATTCCATGCCTTGTAATTATTATTATCAATCGATTTCTCTTCCAATTCTTTCAATAAAATCTGAGGCGTTTTAGCCATTTTCCAATATTCTGGATGAGAATAAGTTTGCAAAAAGGATTGCGTTAACATTTGTACATGTATACGCATTTGCTGTTGCATTAGTTGATATTGTTGCTGAGTAAAACCATAACCATCACGTGATGGTTCAGCTTCCATAGTTGTACTTGATATTTGATTAACCTGAGCATGTCTCAACTTTTCAAACTTTTCCATATACTCGTACATTACATGTCTTCGCACCGAGATATATTCGTAAGTATAGTTATTATCATACGGTGTCTTGTACCGTTCATCACTGGCGTCGATACCAAAAGCTGCAGACAATGTTTTTTCTTTACTTTGCTGTACGACGACGAGGTCGTTGTCGTTGACAACTTTAGCCAATTGAAAACGATTAGGTTGGCCTGGAAGAGGTACCGCTATTATATCGACCTGATTGTTAAGAGCATTGCTTGAGATACTAATCGTTTTTCCAGAAGGACCTTCACTAAAACTAAGCGGTTTCGCTATAGGAATCAATGCACAAATATTATTTTTGCTGTGGATCTCCTTTTGGTCGTCATTTTGATTAGTCTGGATTGAGGTTACAGCTAATTCCCTTTCTCTTTGTAATGGTGATGGCAAATCCGTCGAGGTGACCACGTCCGATTGCGGTTGCCTTTGTAAACCATTTTGTGGCGTGGGCGTTTCTATAATTTTTGTTTCCGGTGTTCCATGAGGAGTATTTAAAACCTCCCTCTCATCTAACTGATGATGATTTAGTGGATGCTTCTTAGGCGTTTCGGATTCAATGCTTTCAAGAGAAATGCCTTCACTTATTAATACCTGAAACAACTCGGCAAACAAATCTGTCAGTTCTTTCTTAGAAATGTTTACATCCCTTAGTTCTTCAGCATCCACTAGAAAGAAAAACAAAAAGACATTATGTAGCAATGAAGTACTATCAAAAAAGATAAATTGTATTCTATCGTTATTCGGTAAAATTTGAACGTAACGTACAAGTGTGGCCTTATACGACAACATGCACATCTATGGTGAAAATTATAAAGGAATTCTTTTTCATTGTACGACGAACCTATCAGACCATTTCGTGTATTTTGAAACGAGAGTATCGTTGATGAAGCCCTCTACTTCAGATAATGTTTGTAGTAATCAAAATAAGTCAAATCCCTTCCTCCTAATGAAGAAGAATAGATCAGAAGAGTTAATAACTTCTACAAGGAAAGTAAAGTCTAAAAAATGTGATCAAGTGCGAGTTCTCCTAGTTATAAATTTATTTATTGATAAAATAATGACAATAAAAGTACACGTCTTCAAATTGCTCATGATCCAACGATGGGGATAATTTACTGCTTTTTAGGATCTCCGCTGGAGAAAATGAACGATGAATGATGGCTGGTGAAGGGAGTGGAGTATTAAAACGAAAAAACAAATGTCTTATTGTTGGATATTTTTGCAATGAAGTTAAAGAATAATCCATGTCAGCCAAATACGAGTCAATCTCGAGTTTTAAGGTAACAGGAACCATTAAATCAGGATCAACTATAAAGTAAAATATTAAATAAATTTATTCATTTTTTATTATAATGGAAATATTTACCGCACTGCGCGTTATCACCAAAATCAAAGAAATCCGTTGCAGAGGTTAAACTATATAGAGTTGGTTGGTGGAGATCAGCTTTAGCTAAGTCTGTAGGATTCTCCGGATTAGTATGATAATCTCTGCCGTATCTCAATAGTAGAGAGCGTACTTGAAAATTGTATCCTACACTAGTGTCTTGTAAACCCATCAAAAATCGCGTTTTAACAGGAGGGTAAGATATCGCAGCTAATATTGCTTCGTAAATACTTTCGTTCAATTCGTAATACGGTTTAAATTGCTGCAGCAATTTTTCTTTAAGTTGCCATAACAAATCTTGAAGTAGACGCAAACGCTGACTGTTATGCAATTTAATTAACTTAACTTTCAATGTTACTAATGTGGGCAGAAAGCAACCATAGTATTGATTTTGAGGTAAATTTAGAAACTCAAAGGCTGAAGCCCATGGTTCGTAGATCAAAACCAATTCTTCTATATATTCTATTTCCGTAAGAGTTAAATCCGTTTTTCCGAAAAGTTGGCAAAGCAATGAAAGCTTACTTTTAAATCCTAACAGTTGTTTCAGAGAACTATATACGCTAGTTAAGTTGAGTAGAGAGGGAGGTGTAAGCTTAGCATCTAATATGTTCAGAATGTCGTGATGATACTTGAAATCTTGTGAGAATTGCCAAAGGGAACAGCACCTATAATAAGAAGATAAAACATTAAAAATGAGATATTCTCTATTTCGGAAATTGAGCATAAGTTCACTTACTTTTCCCAAACATTTGCATGTAGCGTGCGCTTCTCTTCGGTAAGCAATGTTACAAGGTCATCACACCATATTTTATGTAGACTCAAAACATCCATACTGTCATGTCGAGACAAACTCAAAAATTTCACATCATTTGCAACGTTTTCGCTTTTGAATGACTCCACATTTAAGCAATGTTTTCGAAACAAGTCCTCACAATTTCGTATATTATAACATAAAATGGTCACTATTTTTTCTGATTTCAAGGCGAAAGTTTGCTGAATATTTTGTATCGTTTCATTTATGTCTTTCTCAAGATCGTCAGATTGATTAGAGCGTCTGCAGCTTAGCATAGATGATTGCCTTTGAAATAGCTCATCTATCCAATGGCAAGCGATACCAGTATACACGTAATTACTAATACACCATGTGTCCACTGATAAGCATAAGTAGCAGGGCGTTTGTGTAAAAAAGTTAGCCAATGCATTTTTTTTGAGTATGCAAGCATCTTTCACGAGTTGCTTGTAATACTCAGCTGGCTTTAGTTGCACTGGCATATTGCAATATGCCAGCAGGTCAATAAAATACGCTGATTCCACCAAAGAAAATTGTTGACAAGTTCCAATTAAAAAATCCAGTAATTTATAGTGAAATTGATCTTGTTTTTCGCTTTTTGTTGAACTAGTTAATAAAGTAGTTTCCGTAGGATACGGTCCATTTTCTTGGCGTATGCTATGCGTTCCTTCACTTTTCCTTACACAACGAGGAACGCTGGTTTCTGATTTTTGTTTTAAAAATTCTTTATAAACATCTGGATGTTTACTTTTTAGGTGACATATGAAATTGGAGCTGACTTTAAGCGAACCTTTGATTTTGGCCCCGCAATTATGACAGACTCCTACTACACCCGTATATTCCTTTTGATGGTCAGTATTAGCGGTCTAGAATGCACATGTTAACTTTTATGACAATTAATGTGCGTTCCTAACTTACCGTATGAGATATGTAAAAATATTTACCCGAGCAAAAGAGTATTTTGTTACCCGTTCTTAAATATATATTTACATTATCACCGGCGACGGTTTTAACAGTCGTTAATACACCTAAACTGTCATTCGCTTGACTTTGGTCACTTTGTTGATCTTCTTCGTTATATTCGGGGTAATAAAGTGTGTTATTACTGGTGAAATCAAAGCAATTTTTTTAATACGTTTGAATAATAACTTTCGAGTAACTTGCTGTACTTACATACTGCTATCTTCATACTCATACTTCATTAGAAAAGATTCTTTCTTCGTGGACATTGTTCACTTTACACTATTTTACTTCTTATTGTTCAACGCGCGTTATATTCAATAGAAATTTTGAATTTTTTCGCTTTATAAATAAGTGGATTTGCGACTATTGCTCGATATTTCTGTTTCCTCGTATTTATTTCATGTTATTATATTTACAAAATTATTTATTTTGGTTTTCTTCCCTTTTTTCTTGTAAAGTAGTAAAAGTGGTTTTAAAATTAAGTAAATATCCAGAGTGTACAATATTATGCAAAAACATGAGAAGTTGGCGAAAGAGGATCAGAAAATTAGAGAGCTCCTTACAAAACTTTGATATAATAAATTTGTTGGAACGGACTGAAGCAAAAGGAAAAAATATATTCGTAAAGAATAAAATTAATTGTTTATATCTGTATATGACAACATCATCACACACTATAACGGCACTATTGTGAACGATTATAAGCCTTACACATGTAAGTCAACCCGCCTTATTTAAAGAGGTTTTAGAACATAACTTCACATTGCGAATTCTTTTCAAAATTATCAGGTTTCATTCTTTAAAATTTCTTAATCAGCAAAAGTTAATATTTTAACTTCATTTATTTATTTATTTAACACTAAAGCAACACTAAAACTGCAGATAGTATAATGCGTTCATTATTTATTTACCTTTGACGTGCGTTTGCATTTACTTGTATACCATTGAGAATGGTTTCGTTACGAAGAACAATTCATAAAAAACAATTCACTTTTATCACAATTTTTACTAAATTGCTCCAGGAAAAACAATGGCTTACCTGCTTCCTTCTCAGCAGCTACGTATTCGGGATCATTTATGAGATCATCATCATCCGTGATAAAAGAATTATCTACAAAATATTTTGTATGTAAACTTGAAAGGCAGAAGGAAACTTGTCTTAGGTTTCTTACTCAATGGTTTTTGGCAATCATTGACAAACTGCACATATTCGTCGTCGAACGCTGCCCTTTCAGTTTCACTGAAATCTAAATATTCTTCTTCATCAGGGGGCACGAACTCCGACTGTATATCTTCTATCGTGGTTTGTTCTAAACATAATTTGGAGCGCGTTCGGGCAGCTATACGCCAATCCTCTTCCGAAGATTCCTTATCAACAAGTACTTTAAAACAACCATCTTCACTGAATTTTACAGAAGAATCCTCCACATTTCTTGTTACGGGCGGTGCTAGAGAAGTTTGGGAGTAAGATTCAATATCCCAAGCGCTAATGGGGTCATCCCCATCGTCAGACTGAAAACGAACAAGAGAATGTGTAAAGTTCTTTATTTCTAGGAAAATTATAAAAATTACCGGTAGCTCTTCTTCTTGCAATGTAAAGTCTTCATCTTCTTCGTCTGAATTTAATTCATCTTGTATTAACTTAGCAATTTCCGGTTGCTCCGTTTCGGCGTTTAGTACTGGCAATGAAATAACCGGTGTTTTATTTAACTCTCTGGCCTTCGCTCGTGTTAGTTTTGGGACCGATGGCATGTCGGTGATTATGAGTGCGCGCTGCTCCGTCTCGCTTTGTTGTTCACGTGCTAATTCATCCTCAGCTTTTAAAGTAACCAGGGCCAAAACATGTTCATTTTTAATAAATTTCTACGGAACAAAGATTGACGTTGACATTTATTTGGAAGCATGTCTTATAAACTTAAAGATTCTTACATGCAATAATCTCATCATCTCGTCGTGAGTTAAAGAATGTTTACGCATGACATTGCGTAATTTTGTCTCCAGAGCCACAGCATCTTCGAGATCGCAATCTTCGAATTCAGATTCCAAATCACAAAACTTAACAATATCACATTGTTTCCTGAACGAAAAATATCAAAATTCAAGACATTCGAAAGAATTTACTAATCATTGAAATCACCTTTTCCATCCTTTGCTGGTACCGCTACTACTCAAACAAATATTACTACTGCTGTCAGAACTCTGCGCAATTCCTCGTTTTATTATTACATTTTGTTCATTTATTATAAGTTTATTTGAATCCGAAGATATTTTGCTTTGCATTTCTGAAACTTCTGACAAGTAAATGCTTTTTATTTAAAAATTCTTTGAAAACAATTTAATTTAATTGCGACAAAACGATATTTTTAAACAAAATCAAGATCCAATTATATCAAAATTAACTTTATAAATCTAAACAAACTAGCATATCTATTTTCTGATTTATTTCAATTTCTCGGAAAGAAAAGAGAAAAGAAAACCAACGCACAAACGACTTTATCACCGAGTTGCCATATCCTGCAATAACATTTTTGGACAAAATAGTTAATAATTTTAGTTAATTTATAGAAAAAAATATATATTAGGAGATTGAAAAATTATATTTCCAAAAATTTTAATTATAATTTTATTAGGATCTGAGAGATAGATTCCTTTCGGTTAGTTCTTTATATAAATTAATATATGTTTAATATCTAAAACTTGCTTGAAATGCGTATGTAAAAACAGTCAGTAGTAAGAAATATACTTTTACTTTTTTTATATAATACATAATAATAATTTTATAATTTTATTAAAAAAAAAGAAAAATGTTGAATTCCAAAAATGTTTGAAATTTTTTGAATTTGCTGAGAAATAAATTCAATTAAACTGACTTCAAATAAAATTGACTTTGCTGCACAAAAAAATCGGCACAATACATGCATAACAAATGAGAACGAATATATGCTTA